CCCCCCCCCCCCCCCCCCCAACAAGTCACCAAAACTCCCGGGGGTGGGGGTGTGTGGAGAAGTGTTCAGGAGTGGAGTGGGAGAGGCTGGGATCACATGTCTGAGCCCTTTGGGGTAGGGAGGGGCTATGTGTGTGGAGGGGGGGCTTCCTGGGCAGTAGGTCCTGGGAGCCTGCTGTAGAGGAGGTGGTATGTGGGAGGGTGTGTGCAGCAGAACTGCCCTGGGTGGTGTAGTCCACTCTGCCCCCACAGTGCTCTGCCTGGGGCTGAGCCCCACCTGCTTGCATTGGGGCAGCCTGTGCCACGTTCCTGCCAGTGCCTGCAGCCCAGTCTGGCATTGCTCTGCACCCCCCACCTCCAGCAGCAGCTGTCCTCTCACTCCTGCCTCACCATAGTACACCATAGGAGCAAGAGGAGGAGCCGCTGCTGGAGGTGTGGGGTGCAGAGCAGCACTCGGCTGGTTGCAGCTGCCCTGGATACAGCCTGCTGGAATCTGCTCCTCCCCCAGCACATGGGGCTTCAGCTCGCTGGAAGGAGGCTGGAAGCTGAAGCTGGAGCCCTGACACTGGGGCAGGGAGACGCCTAGCTGAAGCTGCTTGCCCACCTAGAACAGTGTGGTGCAGCATGACATGGTGCAGCAGGGGCAGGAACAGGAGCAGCTTCTGGTGGGTTGTTCCTGGTGTGGGGGTAGCTGCAGCCAGTTGAATGCTGCTCTGTGTATCCTGCCTTCAGCAGCAGCTCCTGGTCTTGCTCCTGCCCCACTGTGCTGTGCTGCTCCTGACAGGTATGCAGGGCTCTGGTTCCAGAGTCCAGCTTCCTTCTACCAGAAGGCAGCTGGGAGCTGAAGCTGGAGCCTTGTGCATTCGGGTGGGAGCTGCCTGGCCGAAACTGCTCGCCTGATGTAGTACAGTGCTATAGGGGAAAGATCGAAAGCGGGGGGCGCAGAGCAGCACCTGGCAGAAGCTACATGGTGGCCAGGGCCCAAGCTGGCAAGTGCCAGTGGGAGCCTAGTGCAGGCTGCCCTGGTGCAAGAGGGCAGGGCATGGCCCCATGTGAAGTGCTTTGGGGGCAGCTGTGGGCCAGATCCAGTCACCTGGCAGGCTGGATCCGGCCCATGAGCTGTATTTTGCCCACCCCTGCTGTGAACCCAGTGAATAGGGAATAAGTAATGAGCACAGGGCAGGTTTTCCTAACCAGGAGTTTGGTTTTGGTGGATGTGTATGGGAGGGGGTGGGGCATAAATTGCTAAATGTAAATACTTATTGTGGAGGTTTTAGTAGATGGGAGACTTAATAGCACCTTTCCGTGAATAATTAACAGGCCCCAAAAAGTTAATCTTTCCCTCTTTACTTGCTTTATATCTACAGAGAGTTAGAAGCCTAAGAGCAGACTAATCGGGATTGGTGCCTTGTAGTATGTTGTGCAAGGTTTAGTATGATTTACTGTGCCTGGTGATCAAGTGGCATACATACAGATATGGTGTTATATGGCTTATGGCCCCAATGGCTTGTGCTAAAGTACTTATAGCCAGAATTCCTGAATTGGAGGATCATTTAAAGACTACATAGGGACAAAAATACTGCCAGTTGTATTGTCAAAGTTCAGAGAGAAAGAGATCTTAAGACCAATGAGAAACAGATGGTGCCTGAAAAAGTCAACTTGAAAACCAGTTTTCATTTGCAAATTGGGCATCTCTTGATAAAGTCAGTAATACCTCAGATGGCTCTAATGGAACTGTGAGTGGGAAAGAACTGAACCTTTTTTCCTCCCAATTTGCTCCTGCTCTGTGAACTAGGCATCCTTTTTGGCCTGTCCGGTTTCACTGTTTGTGGCTGCACTTCCATTTTCCTGTTGTAGCATGCTGTTGTTCTCATGGGCTGCTTTGTGGGAGCTTATGCAGGCATCTCCTCAAAGCCTGAAAGATGGTGCTTATATCAACTAATGGTATCAGCAGACCTCATGTACTAAGTAGGCAGAGACAGGGGAGAGCATGCAGAGGAGAGGGGAATGGGAGGATATAGATGTGTACATTCCAGGCACTTACAATAGTTCAAAAGTGCTTTGAAACAGGTAAAGTGACAAAACAGGCATGGAAACTGTGCATTATTCTTGCATCTTCCAGAGAGTGACATTCCTGAACTTTGCACATGTAATAACTGGTATAGAGAATGCCTGATGCCTGAATGGAAGATGTAATTTGGCTTGAGAGGATGCTGTTCAGTTCCCTCTTCATTTACATTTTCAAGTGAGAAGCCAGTTACAATGTTAGCAAACAGCAATAGTTATGTGTGGGACTTAAATTAGCACATCAGACTAAAATCTCTGCTGAGTTAAATTGTGCAATCCCATGATTTCAGTGGATTTGCATAAGGCCTAAGTTAGAATTGCCCTAGTGCACTAATTTCTGCATGTCAAACCCTTCAGATATTATCAGCGGTAATAATTACCTGGCCTCTTAATGTTTCCTTATAAATTCATGCAATAAGCACATTCAGTAGAATGAATGTTTGTGCAATGCTCTTGAACATATGCAATACTTTTCCAATAATAGTTATTCGGTGCAGTGATTGTCCCAGGTTATATGCCTTCTGACTCTTCAAATTCCTTTAAGGAACTTGGAGAAAATGAACACAATGTTTGTATTGCCTTTTTGCTTTCCTTATTCATTTGGATAAGGTCTTTGACTCTGAGACATGTTCACTTGAGACATGTGAACAGGATCTTGTTATCCTTGTTCTTTGTGTTGGCGTCTGTCTAATTGGTTAGGTCAGATGTGCATCAGCACTGTATACATCTTATTTCTGAAGGCCTAACAATGTATCTGAACTAGAGGGAAGTAGTGGTACATGTATTTGAAAAGTTTTCTAAATAAGCAAGTTGTTTACATGGGAAGTCTTTCATTCAGCTAGCTTAACATGTTCTCAGCTGAATAAGATGCACTGCAAACCCCAAGGGCTTTCAACTTTCTATATTAAGCTGAAAGCCAAATTCCATCACCTGCTCTAGAAGCTAAGGTATCAAATTGGGCAGCTTCTCTTGAAATGCCATAGCTTTTAATTTGAAAAAAATATGAGGTGGAAGATTGTGGAACCCTAAGTATGTTGCTGTAATGGTCATGCTCTGGTCGTTGGTTCCTTAGTTGCATCTGACCCTGCTGATCAACAAACTATAGTTTGGGTATCCTAGCTAGAGGAGGACGAGGATGTAGTCTCTTAGGAGTCATCAGCTTTAGCTTTTGAGATAGCTAGAGAACACGGTATACATTAGGTCAGTGGCTCTCAGCCTGTGGCAGGGATGGGCGATTTATTTTGGGTGGAGGGCCACTTACTGAGTTTTGGGAAGCCATCGAGGGCCGCATGACAGGCAGCCGGAGGCAGATTAGAAATTTAGAAAATTAATATTTAGGGACCCCACGGGCTGGATAGAACGGCCTGGTGGGCCGCATCCGGCCTGTGGGCCACTTTTTGCCCACCCCTGGCCTATGGGCTGCATGCAGCCCAATCGGCACATTGCTGTGGCCCATATAACATCCTGTTAAAAAAAAAAAAAAAAAAAAAAGTAAAGACATTTGACAGTGTAGAAATGAGGTATCACAGAATATTGATTTGTATTGTATTACTGTCATAATGGATACAAAACATTTTTAAATGGATATACAGGAAGTGAGTTGCATGGATTCAACCCACATAACACATTTGAGGATGTCTACATATGCTTTTGTGTGTACCTAAACTTAATGCGCATTTTGCCTAATGTACATTAAGGCTATTTAGCATGTGTCTACACATGCATGTGCTAAGGCACATTAACGCAGCGTGTGGACCAGTTTGGGACTAAAGTTAGTCCCAAATCAGTTGACATACATAGCGTTAATGCACCTTAGTGTGTCTACATGTGCGTTAAGGCACTTTAGCTATTCGTGCTTAAATTTGATGCCTGTTTTTGCAGGTATCAAATTTAGGCATAAATAACCTAAAATCGCCATTTTTAAGGCATGTTAAGGGTGTGCACGTGTAGACCTGTGCCCTTAATGCATCTTTAAAAATGGCTAATGCATCTTAAATAGGCATGTGTAGACATACTCTGAGATCTGGAAGTATGGCCCTGTATGGCGTATAGGTCGAGAACCACTGCGGTAGTCTCCCCTTTGCTCCACTGATGGCACTCTTATCTTCCCTGCATTGCTCGCTCAGGTGCAAGGGTCCAATCTGGAGTCTTGTGCCATGACTACATTGGGGATTTTTGGGAAATCTCATCATTTTCTGATGGTACTGTGTAGCTCCACTGTGTTGATAACCTATGGAAACATAAGTATATTTGGGACTTGAGTGACAGTGGAAGATATTTTTACCAGTGCTTATGTAGATGTGTTTAGGATTATAGAAAGCTGTTATAGAAAAGAGTTGCTATATCTTTATTATTGCTCCTTTTCTTGTTAGTAGTGGAGATACCTCAGTAATAGGACAGGGTGTGGAAGAATTT